GCCATGTACTCAGCAAATAAGAAAAATCATCTTATAAAACTGCTATGTTGTGAGGAATGGTTTCAGGATTTAAAAGAACTGCCTGTTACACTCAGCTCATGGACTTCAGGAAGTTCTAAGAGAAGTTGGAATTTAGCTGAGAGACGCATACATCCTGCAAAAGGGTGCATTTATTGAAAGGTGCTGGTGAAATATACGGTACATGAATGACATTATGGGAGTTAAAGTTGGAAGTGTAAGTTGGGAGCAGACAATGAAGACTGAAAACACCAGAACAGTGAATACAGACCCAATTCTGCTGATAACAGAATTCTAATGTGAGACTTCCAGATGAGAAACTACATATTACAAATATGGGGAACATTTTCAATCATGCAAAATGTTTTTCGAATGTTTGATTGAAATTTGAAAAGTAACAGTTTGGCCATAAATAGGTTAGATAAATGTCACTTTGGGTGAATTTTAAAAAACTTTTAGGCAGATCTTTCCTCTAGTTTTCCTAAGTGTCACAGATACCCTTGTGGTGTTAGAATGTGAGTGATTCATTTTCAGCTCTTCCACTTTTTGGGTAATCATGGGTTCCTTATTGAACCTCTCTGTTTGTAGCTACAGAATGCATTGTAAATAATGTAATTGATAAAAATGCAGATAGTGTGTAGATATAAAAGTAACTGTAGGTAGTCTATGCATATTATATATAGTGGGTGACTAATAAAAATGTAGCAAATAGCAGTAACTGGTAGCTAGTATTATAATAGTAACTATTAATAAAGGGAATAACACCATAGAGCTCCTCAATGTAGTGCTTTATGGGAAATTATCTTATAAAGTCTTATTACTAACCAAAATTTCTCTAAATCTGTTTCCTACATCATTAAAGATACTCATATTGATTTAATGATTGAATTATTAGTTCATTCATTTATCCTCCCAGAAACATTTTAACCTTTTACTCTTATTCTGGAATAAATAAAAGATATTATGACAGAAATAAGAAGTTCAATTTTGCCTAGAGTTTTAGGGCTGACTTCAAAAGAAGCAGTAATAGAAGCACTATTTATCACAGCCATAGTTTCCTTTCCACTTGTCCTCTTCTGGATAGGAAGTACAAGAAACAGGTCATGAATAAAATTAATCCACCCCAACCCTCAGAGATAATCCAGAGTGATCAAAACCATTACTCACTGTAATTTCTTCACTTCTGCTACAGTGATGGCTTTAAGATTGGGTACCTTTTAATCCTATTTTTATCTGAATGTAGCCTCTTTCTTGTTATTTTTTAATGACCGGGAGAAGAAAGCCTCATCTTTCCTATTCGATAAGGACAACTAAACATGGAGGAGCGTTTGACTGTCAGTTATGGGTCAAAAGACTAGAGCTGACCCAATAGCACACCAAAAATAAGGAAGAAAGGTTGAAAATTGACAAAGAAAAACAAGGGTGTGTCTACAGTCCTTGTGATTATTGAAACACTCAGGCCATGTTCCACAATGATGAGGAATTAAGCTATAAGGGAATAAGTAGAGTGCAAGCAAATTTGTTTAAAACATAGAACAGCAGGAAAATCCTGGTGCAGGATTCAAAGCTGCTGTGAGGAGAGGGCTCTGAGTAGGCTAGCTAAGAAGACTCTTGGGCTAGGAGTTTTTAAGAGGTTTATCAGGGAGCTCAGGTTGTTTGGTAAACAGTGTAATTCGTATCCTGTAGGAATCTATTTATGTTTCAGAGTCAAATCTATGTAGAGTTCATCAGTGCCTATGCAGGTCCTGTATACCCTTGAGCCACTGGCCTGCCTGATCATTGACTGTGGAGTCTCTGACAACTGAAGATCACCTGGCAGATGTCTCTGTAAGATCTCTGTGACTCAGCAGACTCCACTTTGCGTTTCTCAACTCCATTTGAGCACCGCAGTCCTTCCTGCCTGTTAGAATCCTAACTCTTGTCTGATTAATTCCGGTCACATTTGAATGTGGTTAAAGCCACACTAAAAGCTGGTGTATACTTAGCCCTTTCAGTAACACATGTTAACTTGTCCCTGCTAGTCACTGCCATGCTTTGATGTTTTAACTCCTGTTAGTCTCTTTACCAGTAGGATTTTAAATACTGCCTTATGGACATAGTTATCATAAGACCAAGAAGGTCTCAGGGCTGACTTCAAAAAGAAGCAAGAATATAAGCACTATTTATCACAGCCGTAGTTTCCTTTCCACTTGTCCTCTTCTGAAGTACAAAAAATGGATCGTGAGTAGAATTGATCCACCTCAACCCTCAGAGATAATCCGGAATGATCAAAACCATTACTAACTGTAATTTCTTCACTTCTGCTACAGTGATGCCTTTAAGATTGAATACCTCTTTATCCTACTTTTATCTGAATATTTTCCTTGCACTGCTCCTATTTTAGCTATATGACTGGGTATGAAATACTTAGAGCGATGAAAAAGTTGCTATTGTGGCCTGTGTTTAGATGTTCCCCAAAGCCTGCTATAGTAATAGGTGACAGTTTTTCAGAGGTGACCGGCTTTACGGTGTGTGACTGATTCCTGGTGCAGTGTTAGAATCAAGGGTACCTGGATTTAGAGTGTGAGTGCTATCCACTCTAAGTAGCCTGCATAAGATATAAGGGTCAGAGAGAGATGTGGTCATCCTTTGCTTATTTTGCTACCTTCTACCTACCATGAACTATTTCTCTGAACTGTAATACCTGTCTGTTTTGCCCCCCTGACTTGGAGACAGCCAATTATGGACTGAATCTCCACAAACTATGAGCTAAATAAATCTATACTCCTTAACTTTGGGTGTTAAGTATTTTGTCTCAGCAACAAGGAAAATAACCTAGATAGTTGTGGGGTATTTTGTTATTGTTTTGTTTTTGCAAAATGAAGCAATACTTTTTTTTTCTTGCTTGAGATTTCCACAATATTTTATGCCACTATGATTCAAACCTCCTCTCCCTTAGGTTAAAATTCAAATTCCCAAGGTGACTACCTTTGCAGACAGAACACTAAGAAGACAATTAAAGTTAAGTGGTGCTATAAGGATGGAGCCAAGATGACTGATGTCCTCGTAAGAAGAGTAAGAGAGGGATACCAGGTTTATGCACTCAATGGGGAAAGCCCACAGGAAGGCAGTGAAAAGTTAAACCATGCACACAGGACTTGAAACCAAACCTCCCACATTATTTTTCAAGACCTTTGACAAATAAAAGTCTGTTTCCCTCCCTCCCCCCACGGGAAGTACTTTTCAAAATCAACAACTGGGATCTATTCTTATTAAAAAGATTTTGTGCTTTAAAAGAAATTGCCAACAGAGTAAAGAGAAAACCCACATAGTGGGAAAGAATTTTAGCTAGCTGTCCCTCAGACAAAGGACTGATATCTAAAAAATGTGAAGAATTGAAAAACATCAAGCCCCCACAAATTCAAAGACAAAATCCAAAAATGGACATCTGAAATAAACACACACTTCTCAGATGAAGAAATACAAATGGCAATAAATGAAGAAATGTTCAGCATCATTTGTCACTCAAGAAATGTGAATTAAAACAACACTGAAATTCTGTCTTACTCTAGGAACAATGAATGCCATGAAGAAATCAACCAATACCAAATGTTGGCTGTTCTGTGGGGGAAAAGGAATACGTGTCCATTGTTGGTGGGAATGTAGACCACTGTAGAAATCAGTATAGAAATCCCTCAAAACACTAGAATTGGAAGTCCCATTCAATTATCTATTCTCCTTCTGGGTATTTTCCCAGAAAAATTGAAAAGGTCATGTCATAGCCATATATGTGCAGAACCATGTTTATAACAGCACAATTTTTAATAGCTAAATCTTGGGAAACAACCCAAATGCCCATAAACTGCAGAATGGATTAAAAGGATGTTGTATTTTTATACAATGGAATATTATTCAGCTATAACAAGATAATCTTGAGGCATTTGGTAAATGGAGCTAAACTGAGACTATTCATAAGTGAAATAAATCAGATCCACATTTGTAAATATCATGTTTCCCCCTAGTGTAAAAAATAAATAAAAATAATGATAAATAATTGAAAGAGTAATAAGGCCCAAAATATACAATAGATATTGTAACAAGAAAAGGAAAAGAAAGTATTCAAAAGGAAAGAACAACTGGGATAGGGGAAAGAAGAAATGGAAGAAAATGATTATATGTACATAGGTATACACATATAAATCTATGTATGCATATGTGTGCAAGATAGATGACTACATTACTAATTCTCTGTTAGTTCATCAAAAAGAACAGTTTGTGCTGTCATTGTTTGATTGTTTGAGCATTTTTATGGCTAGATATTGTAACCTGAACAACTATCTAAGACAACAATACACAATATATTAACTAGTATCAATGTCTTGCTTTTTAAAAAATTTCTGTATTATTTCTATCTCTTTTCTGGTTGCTTTTTTAAAATAAAAAAATTAAAAATCGTTTTTTTTAAGCCAACTAGTCTATGAAAATTTTTATAACAGACCAAGAAAACTAATATTTATATCATTTATAAATTTGCTAAGGATGAGTCTGTGACAGACCTTGCATAATTATTATGTGCATTTATAAGTGGGTGATATGGAATTGTGTTACTAGAGAATACTGGTTTCAAAAGGACAAATAAAAGAAAATTTCTTTGGGGAAATCAAATCACAATTACTGTTTGGTGATGACTGTTAAGGCAACAACGGTGCCAAGAACACAAGTGTAGGAGCTTGCCAAGTGCTCCTTTCTCCAGGGGAGGTGATTATATGCCCATCATTAGAAGTTGACCTATGCAATTCATTTAGACCATCATCTCTACTTGCTTGTATTTGAGTTTTAACTTTCAAATTCAGCTTCTAAAATAAAACATGTAAAGTTGAGCTTGCCTATATTTTCTCATCATCTTCAGAGCATATTTTTATATCCAAAGCAACAAAAAATAGAAAGCAGGAAACCAGTCATAAAGTATGCGATAAAAAAGGAAAGGCGTGAAGGAGATAAAAGGAGTTTTATGCTTCTCGTGTTTGATTCATTTGAATGAAGTAATGCTTCATCCAAGGGGAGAAATAATCTCTGACTCTTCTCTAGGCTGAGATGAGATTTATGGATTGAACCAGCTCAATGGATGTCACTGGTAATATTTTGACTTGAAGTTTGTGGTGATAGTAATTTGGCCTTTCTCGTAAGTAATTCCAGCTGTATTGGAATGCTGCTGTGGAGGTGACTTAGAAAAGGAAAGAAGGACTTTTGTCAGAGTGAATGATAATTAACCCCTCAGTGCTTCGTTCTGTCATTCAGCTTAAACTAAAATTTACTCATAACGACTTAAACTGCATTTATTCTTGTTTGAAGATTTACTTTACCTGTCATGGTAAGAAATTATGCAGTTTTGTTTATTTTAACTCCAGATAACCAGGCATTTTACATTAAAGCTTAAGAAGGATTTTAAGAAGAAAAAAAAAATCTTTGGAGTTGTCTATGTGGTTAATAACTATTTTAGATAGCATACATGATACTGAAGATCTGAAAGCTTGTCACATTTATTCTGCAAGTTTGGGAGATAGAAAATAGATTCCTTCAAACACTTTCTATATTCTCATGTAGAGGTGATATCAGTTAGTATCTGTAAATTAAGAAAAAAAGAGTAAAGGAAATAGATTTCAAATGAAAATACAGACACTCGTTTTAATAAATTGAAGTGTCAGTATTGATGGGAAATGGTGTGCTTTGTAAAAGACAGAGCTAATTAACATTATAAACTTTCAAAAGAAAACAAGTAAATTTTAATGACACTTCTTTTTTAAGTATCTTGATATCGTAAAGCATAGTGTATCCTAAACCTACTTTTTTATCTTTTTCTCTATCTCAAATATGCCTTTCAAATCTTCTTCATATTTTTAAAAACAATTTTTGTGGTGCTGGCAATTGAACGTAAAGCCTTATGTATGCTAAAAATATGATCTACGATTGAGTTACATTCTAGGACTAAAGTCTTTTTCATGTTGGTAAATGATTCCTCTAAATCTGAGCTTAGAAAAGTCATCATCCTTCTCATCTAGAGAACAATACATTGCAGTTTATGTACAAAATTCAAAATATTGTGTTCTCTTGTTCAACTCTTCAAGTAAGAATTGTTTTGTATTTTTAAGTGGTTGGAAAAACAAAAGAATAACTATTTATAACATACAAAACAATATGGCATTAAAATGTCTATATTCATAAATAAAGTTTTATTAAAACATGACTGCTTTAGTTTATGTCTAGGTGTTCTCCAAAGCCTCATGCAATGGTAGGTAAATCCTTTTGGATTCTAGTATGTGTGGTGCTGGGATTAGGGATTAAAGTTGGGAGTGATTAATGGTGCAATGGTAGGACTGAGAGTACTTCACTCTGGCTGTGCGTCGTACCCATGCTAAGGGCGAATCACTTAGATAAGGAACAGAAAGAGAGCTGCTGTTGCCACTGCTTGAGGCTTGCTGGTTTTCTGCTTTCTGCCTGCTGTGAACTGTTTCTCCTCTGATGCCCCTCTGCTATGCTTCCCTGTGTTTGAGCCAGCTAAATATGGACTGAAACCTCTACAGACTGTGAGATAATTAAACATTTCCTCCATTAACTTTGGGTCACAGTATTTTGTCTCAGCAGTGAGAAAAATGTGACTAAGATGGTAACCAACTGTATTAATTTATATATATTTTTGTGGAAGCTTTTATGCTTTCACAACAACAGAATAGTCTTGACCAAAATCTGTGTGGACATATTTTCTAAAATATTTATTTTCTGAACTTCCCCTGGAAAAGACTTGTCTATATCATTCAAACATGTTTTTTACTAGTTCCTGGTTGGAATCACATTACTTCTTTGTTGGCAGACATGAAAATGAGCTATGATCACATTTTTTGCATGCTGATGTACAGGTGGCCAGTGAGCCCACTGTTTAGGTACATTCCTCTGGTAGAAGTTTAAATCTGACTGAACCTAGGCATGCTCAGCAGAGGCTTTATTGAAAAACAATTTTATCAATTTCCCAAACTTATGAATGATACAGCTTTCTCCCTAGTTACTGCTTCAGATCTCAGGTATCCTTGAGTATTTTCCTTTTATTCCCCGGAACAATACAGCACCAACTTACATGTTGTAATTAATAAAATATGTTTGGATTAAAAAAGTTTGGACTCAAATGCAAGCTCCTCTTGTTACTAGATGTGAAAACTAGAGGAAATTATTAAAGTCTCTATGAAACTGTATTTACCCATGTGTAGAAAGTAGCAAACATTACTCTCTTGATCGATTACAGGCTAGTGACAACGGAGTAAGCATAACTCATGTAGGTGTTTAGTATAGAACCTGATACGGAACAAAGGTTCATAAATGTTAGTCATTCTGTCAATATTAGCGTCATTAAATTGTGATTTTAGATAACATCTTGCTTCTTATTTTTCTCTTTGCTGAAAAATAGTTTATATAGATTTTCATAACAAACTACTAATGCCCTTCTCTACTCTTAGCATTTTAACTAATATTATAACTTACTGATGCATTATAGTCTCTGACGCATAATCCTAAATATTATGTAGCTTAACTACTCTAAGTTTCCTACAGAACGTATACCAAATTTTGGAATAACATTTATTGCTCTCCTGTGCAATTTTGTCTGTCACTCACTGCTGAAGCTCACTAAACTGACTAATCCTCCAAGATTTTCAACTCCATCCAATTATTAGATGAAGTATGTGTCATCTGAAGTTCACCACTGATATTCAGTATTAACTGTCACAAACACTGACACTTCAACAAGACATCCTTGGATACCTCTAGAAGTAAATTTCTCATACACTTGGGGAACACATCTAGCATTTTACCTGAATGTCAAATGACATTTTTTGTGCTATATTTGTTTAAGGCTTTTCTTTTTTATACTTGTTTACTTTGGGCCCAAGTCTTCTTCATGTTAGACAGTTACTTCCTTCACAATGTATTTTTTATTATGAAATACTTCACAAATTTGTGAATCATCCTTGCTCGGGGGCCATGCTAATCTTCACTGTATCATTTCAATTTTAGTACATGTGTCGCCAGAGTACCTTTGCACTGTATCTTAAGGTTCTTTGAATGCTCTTAGCAATGTCTACTACTTGAAGTCCCTCTGCAGCAATGAGATAAGAATATTAGATACTTGGTCATGGCACCATTTTTCAACTGCATTGATAAAATGGCCCCCATAGCACTTAGAATTATTTAGTAGGGAAAATATCAGCCAATAAATTGCTGTTATGCGAGGTGAAAAGCTCAGTTTTCTTTTTAAAATTTTCTTTAGTACATGTTTACAGTACATAATGATAAAATTCACCACAGGGAATTGGTACATATACATAACACCTTTTAATTCCTTTTAAAATTGTTTCTTCTGACTTTTTAATTTTTTTTATTTTAAAGAGGGTAGAACAAAACAGAACAAAGCAGATCAGAAGAAAATGTGACACAGATTTATCTCATTTTAATTTTTTTATTTCTTCTTTCTTTCTCTTCCATCCTTCATCTTCCTTTTTCTCTTAAGTTTTTCTTGGTATCATAAAATAATTTTTCTAGGAATTTTATAATTTACAAAGATAGAACTTATAACTTTTAAAAATGTGTGCGTTTGTGAACACAAGACAAGCAAGCTGGTAAGGAAACTACACGACCGCACATACTCCTGCCCTTGCTGATCTTATCATTTGCATTGGAAGAAAAGATTGAAATAATAAAATACAGAAATATAGTAAGACTGGACCAGATCCTATCTGTCACTGGTAGGATTCAGAAATGATCAGGGAGAGGGAGAGAAAGAATGTGAATCTGATAAAAGCCACCAGAGCACAACATCAATGAGGGCATCTGTATGATTTTAGGATTCTTTTCAGCCTGGTTCCTACCACTCCTAGGCCACGCCTTGCAGCTTTTTACTTGACTACACAGTGGTGGTTTTGTTCTGAGACAGCACTGATCCTAATCACTTTGATCCACGTTCTCATGCTAAGTGTAGATCAAAGTTGAGCCCATCCTGTGGAGTTGTTTTAGAAGGACACGTCATGTGTTTTTACTTTCTGCTTTTTCCGTCTCATTTCAGAAGATAATATTTGAGTTTCAAAAGCTCTCATCTTGTGACTGAAAATATTGGAAAAGGAATACAATTTTTGCTAGATAATTCACATTTTAATTACTTTGTTAGATACTACATTAATAACTCATTTGAGTTGATTTGCACACATGAAAACATTTTTAAATTGAGGAAGAAACAGTATGCTTTAAATGAAGAGTCAATGATTTTCATGTTAGTTAATGTATATTACATTTTAGAGCAAACAATAGATTCACATTTTAAAAGTGTCCTCTGTAACAAATTTAGGTCAAGAATATTAAACATTTTTCCCATTTTAGATGTATATGCTTACCTTTTAAAGAATCATTTTGTAATTGAACAGAATCAATTATCCACTGAAGAAATCAGAAAGAATATTTAATTAGTGGCTGGATATTATTGTTTATATTGGCCTGTGTAATAATCAGTTTTTTCAAAGAAGGAAAATGTATACAAGCTTCTGTTTTCTTTTATAAAGCTTAATTCTGTAAGACTTCTTGTATAAAATAGTTTATTCCCATACTTTGATGAAAAAGAGAAACTTTCCCTGTGCAGTTTATGCTTGCATTTTCTATCTAATCAGGCAAACAATTTTAATTAATTCAGACAATCGCCTCCATGGTGTCTGTGCCCTTTGGGACTCTTTCATTACGAATGCAAATGTGCTCCTAAAATAATGAGAATGTCATTACCCTGCTTTATTCATTGAGGTGGTCAGGAAGAGAACAAAAATTCATTTGATGGTGAGGTAATATTTTAATATACAGTAATGGAATTAACTTTGATATTTCTGGGCTTCATTTTCTTGCTCATCTTCAAACAATGTTCCCTGTGCACAATACTGAATATGATGAGAACAGGGATGTCAAGAAAAGATTAACTCAAAATCTTATTTTACATTGCAAATACATAAAATAAGGCTTTAGTTTTATTACGTTTGACAGTGAATATACAGATGTTAGTCTAACAATGCGGCTTACATAATGTTAAAAAGTATAAAATTGTAACAAAGATTTTGATTTTTAAATTTTAAATAGCTTTGTAATTATAAAATAGGGAATATCCTATTACTACTATACTTGGAAAGAAGGGGCTGTACTATAAGTAAATAGTGATTACATTCAGGAGCTTATCACAGTAACTTTTTGAGTGCTCGGGGAAATTATCTGTCACAAGACAGAACTTTATCATGAAAAGTTCAATATAATATTTTCACCTTATTTATTTTATTCATTCTTATTTTCACTAAAAAATTCTGATATACCTGTCACGTGCCAGGGGTGGAGATAACAGAGAAACTAGTCACTACGTTTGCATTAAAACAATAATCTCAATAACAATTGTATGATGGATACAAGTCTCAGTATTTAGGCATAGGAAGAAGAATGTACAAAGGTACAGAGACTGAAAAGAGCATCACCCCTTTGAAGAACTAAGTGACTGATACCTAAATATCAATTAGAAATGATGTCACAGATGTAGATTCAGGCCTGTAAGGCCCTGGAATATGGAACCTAGATTTTGTTCTATAGCAGCAGCAGAACTTACTAATCAAATATGGAAAACTACAACTGGACAATTTTACTGCCAAGTAAGTTTCAGTAGAATAAGAAACTATTTCATCTAAGTCTCTTTTCACACGTGGCTCATTCATCAAAATCATTATCCTTGAGAAAGACAAGACAGGATATACCATCAAAGGATTTCCCTTAGCTAAAGATTGATTAAGACTCAAAGGAGGGAATAAAATTACTTCATATATTTGCTGCAAAACCAACTGTTTTCTAATTTACAGGAAGTTGAAGACAAGCACAAGATATAAGTTTTTCTTAAACTTACTCTTAAAAGAACAATAGAAATATTCAGGCATTCTCTCTTTTAAGATCTTGAACTGTACAGCAAATTAGAGAAAAGTTTGTTTAATTCAAATGCTATTTTAATATTTACATAAATATATAAATTTATAGAGCACTAGTGCATTTTAAGGTAACCAGGAACATTTATAATCTAAAATGAGAGTCTCATTCATTGACATTACCATCTTACAGAGAAGGTCACTTAATCACATCATAATACTCATGACCTTCAGCAAAGAAAAGTTATCAGTATCAGTTCTCTTTTCTCAACATATCTGTCTTAGTTACTTTCTCATTACAAGGGTAAAAATACAAACACCCATAAGTTAAAAGAGGAGAGGGTTATTTTGGTTCATTGTTCACAGATGATTCAGTCTACAGCTGCCAAGACAAAGCAGCATGGCAGAGGGGCATGGAAGACAGGAAGAAGAAATCATGGCAAGCAGCAGGAAGCAGCAGGACTTCCTTCTTTCCCTTTTTATTCCATCCAGTCTAAAAGTCTATTGGTTGGTAACACACACACCCAGGATGAGTCTTTCCTCTTCAGTAAATCCATCATCGACACTCAGAATGGTGCTAAACCAATTGGCAGGTTACCCCAGTATCACACACCACGATTCAGTCATTACCCAAAGCGTCACCTATTAGCACTGAGGGTTTCAGGGGGCATCTACATATAAGCTAGAAAAGGTCTAATTTAATAATTGAAATTATCCAATGTTCCAAGGCAAACATATCATCTAGTCCCAAATGTTGACCTCTATCCATTATTCTTTATGTTCGACCTCATCACCACACTCCTGAATTTCTACACTTGGTGTACATGGTTCTCTAAAGAAGAAAAAACTATTCTTTATGCTATAGTTTCATGTGATAGCTAGACTACTTTAAAAATCTCTTTGATCCAGAACTCTGGCTCAATATCCTCTATATCAGATCTAAAAGTCTGTGTTTATGACCCTTGACAATCTGTTTGGAGTTACTGCCTTTCCAAGGCTCATCAACTGACATTCTCTTTCAACCTCAATGTTTCTTACAGCTTTCACATTTTCTTTAGCACTGTTAGCTCTGAATACCCTTCACTGTATGCCCCTTCAACTTCTACACTTACAAGTGGTTTTCAGTTCACAGTTTATCTATTTCCTCCAGGAACTCTTTTTAGACTCACTCAAACAATACCTACTGCATTAAATTTTTTCTCACACCCAAACAGAGCTCACCTGGAGAACCCACAGTGACTAGATGTTTCTGTAAAATTTTCCTCAATATATTACATTGAAGTTTATATGTATCTCTGTCTTCTAAACAGTATGTTGACTTCAAAAGTACAAATGTCAGCCACTGCACTGTCTCCAGTTCCTGGTGTAGTACTGCATAAATATGGATAAAGTACACAGCATATTTAAATTAAATCTTCCCTCTATTCTCTTTTTCAAATCTATGAAATGCTATTATTGTATTTGTAGAAACTGAAGCTTAGAGATTTGTTGCAGTGCTGGTAATTGGCTGGGCTGGAATTGAAATGAGGCCAGGGCTTATTAAATAATACAAAGTTCTCAAAGCTTAGCATAGTTTTCAATGTAAACCAACAAATTCATCAAGATATTTAATGTGCGTATGCTCATGTATTTCAAGCAAAAACTTTTTTTTCTTTTTTTGTTTTTGAGTGAATTAAACTGTTTTCATGATCTGATACCACACTCATAGCTTGAATGAGGAGCAAAGATTAAATTTAGGTAATATCCATAAAGAATATTCTTAATAAATTGATGAACTGGAGGCCTATTTTAATGTCAGATTTTAGATTAATTAAGACCCTTCCTGAAGTTACTACCACTCCTTATTCAAACTTACGATTTCTTCGGATTGTATTAGTTATTTCTTACTTTCTTATAAAACATATTAAAGCGCTGAGAATAAGAAGACTATATATATATATATATATATATATATAGTCCTCGACTTATGGATGAGTTCTGTTTCAAAAGAATGTTCATGAGCAAGATTCATTTGTAAGTCCAATGAAGTGAGTTTTACCTTTGACACAAACATACAATGTTAAACATCACCCTCCCCAATACAGTTAGTCCTTGACTCTACCGTACTC